TGCTGCTTCAGGTTGCTGACGCTGCTGTAGCACTTGCCGCAGGCCGGGCACGCGGGCCGCCCGCCTGCGCACATCACACCCTCAGTGCGCCATAGCCCCCATTTAATGCATTTACTAAGCATTGGGTACTTCTATTATTTTCCGAACTTTACTTTCCTTAGCTGATTAAAATTTGGATAAAAGCACTCGTTGCACTCGTAATAATATTGCTAAATTCGTTTAGGCAACTCGTCGGCAGGATGAGACGCTTCTAATTCCTTACGCTAATAATAAAATTATTCATAAACTCTATATAGATTATATTGTTTATATTTGTATGATTGATGCATAGCACATTTCACATTAGATGTAGTTAAATCTTCGATATGTAGTTCAGATTTCAATTGAGATCGAATGTTCTAGAGTCGTAACGTAACTTCCATGGTTGCTGGTGCCCTAGTACTTTAAGTCGCGAGTTGGCCGCGTGTCCAATTTAAAGATAAATTACGTTGTTATATTTGTTACTGGCTAGTGTTAGTTCGTATGACGAGTGAAGCGCGATAGATAAATGTACAATTAATGATGCTGGTGATTCAATTTGTAACATTAAGGTCGTTAATATTAACTGCAAACATCGTATAATTTAATAGTTTTACGAATTTTTCTCAGTTTTTTAATTATCAACACCTCAACGTAAACGTTAGTAAATTGTTAGTAAGATTAAAATTGTACTCACCGAAATTGTCCGGCATTCCTGATGGTCCCGGCAGGCCGGCAAAGCCTGCAAGTTGACAATTTCAAAATCTTAGTTTGCGAGATACCTTCATTTTAATTGCTGTATTATGAACATATGAGGTTTGTTATTCTATGTACATTCGCAGAAATTGGCAGTGTCCACAGAAAGAGAGAATCTCTGCCTTAACTTTACTTGCTACGGCTAATTGGTTTTTAAGTAAAAAGTAATTAGCCTAAACTACATTTATGCTGTGTTTTTATATAGTTATTGTTTCAAATTGTTCAAAAGACCGTAGCTTTAGAGTGGTACACCGTCAGATTCCCCGATGGTACATACAGTACGTGCAGTACCTTGCAGGTTGAGCAGTCCGGGGAAGTTGTGCGGCAGCGCGCCGTTGGTGTGCGCGAGCGCGGCCGGGTCGTCGTAGTCGATGGGCTCCTGCTTGGCGCGCGGCTCGCCCTCCGCGTCGCTCGCGCCCGCGTCCGACGACGACTCCTCCCCCTCCCCGTCCCCCTCACCGGAACCGGACTACAAACATTACAACAATCTATCACAAATAGGTCTAAAATTAAATTTTCAAATTATCAAATTACCAAACTCTACTTATAAAAGTTAATTTACATCTTATTAAAATTACTAGCTCTAGCTCGCGACTCCATCCGCGTGGAATTAAAAAACAAGGAAAATAAGTAGCCTATGTGTTCTTTAATTTTTTTCATTGAGATCCGTTCAGCCATTTAGGCTATTTACTTTGACATACATCTAAAATTCCGCATTTATAATATTAGTAAGAAGTAAGATTAATAATTTTAATAAATTTGTATAATGTAATAAATTAATATAATTGAAAAAGTTGAGATGTATGAATGAAGTAATTGATATGACTACGCCAGAATTGCTCAACGGATCTCGCTGAAATTTGACACAAGTGTAGAACATAGTCTGGAGAAACACATAGTCGACTAAGTTTGGTTTTTAAATCCATGCCGACAAAATCGCGGGCGACAGCTAGTAACATATATTCCTAGGAAGAATATGAATTGGATAACACCTTAGAATTTAAAATTATACGATTAGTAAGGAGTCACTGACCAGGTTGTTGAGTGCGGCGAGGTGCGGCGCGGGCGGCGCGTGTGCGTCCAGTGCGTGCCCGAACAGCGCGAGCTCGTGCCCGTTGGCGAGCGCCTCGGGGCTCGCCTGCGCCAGCAGTTGCTCCGTCCTACACCCGTAAGCCGTACGTCTTGTTAGTAAACAACCGAACAAAACAACATATTGATCTGTTTATTAAGACTTTCTTTAGTTTTTCATCATCCGCGCTAGTGTTGAGTATTCAAAGTATATTTTAATTTAAATTTTACTTGTTTAAATGACGGAAAGTCCAAATACGTTAACCTAGAAACATTTATGTTATTTACGTAATAGAAAACATTTGTAGTCAACAGTTTATGGTCAGTAATTTGCATCTTTAATTTCAAATTATCAACTTAACTGGCACTTAACACTATATGACAAAATAAAATGATCGTATTAGTTGTATAATTATGTTTGTTTTGCATGTTTTTTAATTGTGTGTTCTTGATTACTTCTTATACATAACAAAAATGTTTGTTTAAATAAAAGTTATGAATATTTACGTTCCTAAATTAAGCAATTGATAATATTATAATAGGTAAATATTGGTAAAATAATTGAAATATATACAAATGTACATTATTGCACTGAGTATGAGAATTCACTGGAAGACATCGAGATGAGACGTGTTACATAAAACAAATCGATTATGTGCGCATGACGCGGTCGCGGACATGACGAAAATGCAATGAAATTTAACGACGCGAGCTCGCGCGAACGAGGATGAATTTTGCATATTTTAAGAGCTTAGTCGATCTTGAGACTTCCTAACAGCTCTCGGAATATCCGTAAACACGCGTAATCTATGTGAAATAAATATTCGATATTGAAACATTTTTCTTTTGTTTATTGTAAACTGACGTGTTTCTTAAAGACATATGCTTTATTTTTATCAAATATTCTTAAGTAACCTCTAACAATACAAAATTTCAAATACAATAGATAGCTAATAAATATGTTCACTCGTAGTTATTTGTGATTTCGCGTTTGTAAGGCAGTGACCTGTCTATCAATCGGTCACAAGTCAGGTCAGGGCCGCGATCAAATTCACGGGTAGTTGTGGCAAATCAAATAGGCAAAGAATCAAAGAATCGATTGCATTGCAAATGACGTTTGGTACGCACCTGGTTTTCATCTGCGCTTGGTAGAGGTCGGAAGAACGCGCTCTTTTCGGCGGAGGTGTGTTTGCTGCTCCTTCCTCCGCACGCCGAGACCTCCGTCCCTCGCGGCCCTCCCGCCCCTCACGGCCCTCCCGCCCTTCACGGCTGTCGCGGACCTCCCGTCCTTCGCGTGACGCACTGCCCTCCGTCCATGATGATGCAGACTGCTGGAGTATTCGGACGGTCACATAGGATGTACTGATTTGTTAGGTTGCTATTATTCTTGTTAAAGTTGCCTTAAAAATGACGTAGATAATGCATAAGCTTCTAAGAATCTAAAAGTTAAGGAAGATATTTCCAAGTACCAATATACTCAAGTGATTGTACAGACTATTTTTCTTCGAATTACTTGCTTAGTTAATTTACCCTCAAGTAGTATTAGTCATAATTGTACAACAGAGTGAAAGTATGTATTTAACGCGGACACTCCTGACTCACTGATAGGTGAAATTCTTTTTTATGTAGATCGTTTGCGCAAATAAGTAGCCGTAAGTGCTGGCCTGTATGACGTCACACGTAATCCTAGTATGGGTATAATTGGATCTTATTCGTATCGACAGTATAGATGGCTGATTATTTGGAAACTAGTGAACTCTATTGCCATATTGAATAATGAATTAAAATGTCTAGCTTGTTACTAAAAGCTGAAAACCAGCGCGGCCTTTAGGGACAAGCTGGAGGCCGCATCAGCTGAGCCTTCTGCTTTTGACCAAGACTTTTTTTTATCTCAGTCATATGTTTTGTAAGTTGTGGTCTTTTAATTTTTTTTGGTCAATAAATAGTGTTTTTTTTTAAATATATCAAAGGTACTTTACAATGTTGCCAGTAAATATTTTAAATGGAAATATTTTTTAGATGTCTTTAATGCATTTTCGTTATTCCATAGCAATTAATATCAATATTTTTTTAAATTAATGCTATGTCATGCGGTTACAAATAGAAAAAAAGCTTCTATAGACAGTATTTCAATTGTAATTTGGATTTGTAGGAGATAAAACATCGCCCTGTCACCGCGAGTGTAATCCCATTTGGGAATGCAACGCGTTCTCTCAAAATAGATCCTTTAATTATGGCATCCTCTTACGGCTAGCGACGATATTTTTCTTAAAGAAATTGTGATTCACGAAAATATAAATGTCAATGACACCGATTTGGTCACTTGCGGAGGTGGCGCCATCTGCCTTACAAGTCCACACAAGTGAAGGTAAGCTTCGGCTCCGGGATTACTTATTTGACGTTTGGGAAAGGATTATTTTACAATCAAAATTATGGTGTACACCGAACTTGAGAAAATGTGACATCACTATAACTGTATACCTTTGTGAAACAGAATAATTACGGACATGAGACCAATGATGACGGAATGAATGACGGGTAGCTGCGTTAACACATTCGGTACTATCACGATGACACTAAACGTATTGGTATAGAAGTTGTCCTATTAGCCATAGAAGCTGTAAAAGTGCCGACAGAGTATAACTTACCGGAGAAGGCTTCTGGTCAAGAGTGGCCAGTGGCGCAGGAGCCGGCACGTCAGTCAGCCCACGCACCTGCAGCAGCTGCGCCGCGCGAAGGAACTCCTTCAGTTGTTCCTGTCCGATGTGCACTTCGCCTTGGTACATGAACCTGCAGCAATTTTCACCAGTTAGAGCTATAATTCCCAATGGACTAATATCTACTGACAAACAGGCATAGTAAAGAACGCAGGACACCTAAAAGAATACGAACCTAGCTTTGAAGATCAGAGATTTTCATGTGAGAATATTAATTGTGTATTCTATCAGTAGTTTGTATGTCATTTTTTAACATCAAATGAGTTGTTTGTTTAAAAACACGTGTAATAAAGGAATGTCCAATGTTACCTGAGCAAGCTCTCCATGTCCTTGTCGTGAACGTCCCGCAAGATGACGATAGGGTGCTGGCAAGGGTTAGCCTTTAGCAGTCGTCGGAAGTATGGACTGCACGCCGACAGCACCACCTAAGTAGTAAATGTATGTGCATTAACTCGCCAAGGCGTTTGTGTAATGACATCATACAGTGTCCGAAATGGCAAAATCAGTGATCGTGAAATATTAGAATATTCGACTACGCATATATTAGACATTAAAGATACCTTAGCGCAACTTTCATTCTAGATGACTCATGTGTCATTAACATGAAAAAGTATAATTTTTTTGAGGGCGCATATTATTTCTCCGCGCATCTTATCTCTGAACGTCGGTATATTCATCGTTTAGATAAATCCTGTATTACCGGTAATCAAAACAACGAGCGATTCGATAATTATTCAAGTTTCTCGACGGATATTATCGGCAACACATTCCAAACTCGGGTACAGCGATTTCGGAACTAAATTACGCCAATTTGTAAACGTATGCCCATTACGGACGAAACGCCATCGCACACGTGTGTAGTTCACGGCGATTTACTGTTGCCGTTCATTACTCTTTCAAAACTTTCGCCCCTTAAATTGCTATTATTACGTTTTTATACCAATGTTAATTTACGTTAAACTATTCTAGTTCTCTTCTTTTTCATGTTATCTTAAATTTTTAATTATATAAAGAACAGTTGATTTCATAACTTTTGTACAGGATGTTCTAGTAATTTTAGCAATTATTTCGTTTGGTGGTTCGGTTATGAGTGTGCTTTTTGGTAAGATTATGGCTTCAGTTGGTCCGATGGACTCACCTTGTGCGCAGAGAATGTTGCGCCGGCGCAGGCGAGCGTGACGTCGACGAAGTCCTCCTCATCGCGCAGGCGACGGAAGGAGGAGACCATGGCGGAATGGAAGTCGTTCCAGCGCAGCGAGTACTGCTGCTCGGCCGCGGCGCCGCCTGCGCACACACGGTCACCGCCGCTGTAATATGCGACACTCGCTGCGCGCAACGTGTACCAACATTTAGATATATTGCTAATAATTCGGCACTATAGTAGTCTATCTGACCCATATAGTGCTATTGTGGGTTCTCACTGCAGAAGTAGTAGTACAAAAACATTTACGGCTGAATTCAGAAACGAATCTCCTTTATGAGCCCCGCTTACAGTCAGATGTAATATTTTTTTTGGAATCAGGAGTTAAGATTCAGTCGTTTCAATATTGGACCGTTAGTTAGCTTTGTATGAACAATTCGGCAGTAAAAACCCACGGTTAGAATGACGTATTAAACATAGTTTAATAGTATATTTTTAATGAACAAGTTTGTATTTAATCTCAACTACGCCAGTTTGGTACAGAATTTTAAATACAAATTTTCGAATTCTGTGACATTATTTTAAAACGATGAAAATTAAATCAGTATTCATAATGTAAATCACAAACAAATCAAATCGTAGGCTTTCAATTTGTTCCAAATTTGCATATGCACATTAACCTAAAATAAATAAGCATATTTTTGTCTAATAATCAAATAAGAAAGTTGCTATTTGCCGGTTTTGTAGGTTAGTTTGACGGTAAGGATTTTTATTTCATTTGATTTCCGCTTTTGTCCTGATTAACATTTTTATTAAATTATATCTGAACATTTTCAAAACATTAATTAATTGTTATATTTTTTAAAATCATAGAATGTCACAAAGTGGTGTGGAAATAAAATCGCAAGTGCTAATTACGCGCATTTCCGAACGCAGCCGGACTTCCGAACGAGCCTCAAACGAAATCGAAAGTGTTCCCGCCGCGCCGCTCTGACACTACACAAAATGGCGGGATCATTCAACAAACATGACAGCTCGTCATTCATCAAGTCAAGTGATAATGATGTTTATAATCCTTTTAAAACTGATTAATTATTTCAAAACAGATTGTAATCATTCATAAATAACGTTAAATGTTGTGTTTTCTAAGTCTTCATTTAGTTTAAAATAAATGGATAAAGCAAATAAAAAAATGTATAGCATAGTTTATCAAAAATTAACCCTTTCACCGCGACGCACAGTTTGTTGGCAAAATTGGATCTAAACTGTCAGGTTTAACTTTTTACTAAATTATAAACAATTTCACCTATAACAATTTACTTAACAAATTTTGCAGACAGCGCACTCGTATCTAGATGTAGCAACGTATTTACAATGAACTGCAGACAAAGGGCATTAACGTGTTCGGAGATTGTGCACGCGGTTTCGCGTCTGTCTCGAATCCTGCAGCTCCCCCGCCCCCACGTATCGTCCCGCTACCCCCTGTCCCGGCCGCCTGAGGGGTGACGCCGCACACGCCATAGATTGACAAAAGATACATCAATTTTTGATTTGAATTGTCTTTACGCTTTGAAATGAAATGCGCGAATCTTTATGAATATTTAATGTATTTTTGTCATTGCAAAATTTTCAAAATCATATATTTTAAATCGTAGATAATAAAATAGTTTTATTGTTGTTTATAATTAATGCGAAAGACATAGGTTCATGAGATTTAGTTAGTTAGCTTGTCCAAAATAAATATACCAAGATTTATTTAGTATAAGACATTTCAAATCATTGTTATCACCGCTCTGTTAATTAACTGCATACTATTTAGAAGTACAAATTGTACAAATGTGCAAAAGGAAAAACTAAACAAAAATATAATTAAGAACGGAGACCATCGAGTTGTTTTTGTTTTTAGTTTGTGGCAACGAAAACGGGCGGATACATTGAGATTTTTACAAATACGGACTTAATTTACTGAGTTTTACTGTCATTTATTTCTTTTATAATAATCAGCGAGTATTTCTGTCATGAACGTTTTTTTTAATTTTTTGTTAACCTCTAACTGCATTGTGTATGTTAGTACAAAAAAAACATCGAACATTTCTTGAAAATACCTAGGATATTAGGGGTAAACAAGTTCTAAATAGAACATTCTATTTCTACTATAGAACTTCTATTAAACGTAATTGTGAAAAAAATGTATACTTTTATAAACTATTTTCTTCCAAATACGTCTTTCCTTATCGAGGAATTGGAATTTATCCATTAGTAACGTCCAGCGAGAAAAATAAGATCGCACCCTCCGTTCTCGAGTAAACGAAAGCAACGTCATTAAACAAGTACTGCGCTCACCCCCGCGATCCTGCGGGATGATCCCGGGGGTGGGCCAGGACGAGGGGTGGGGATGGGGGGTGAATATCAACGAACTCATGTACGTACGAGTGACGGGTACACGCGTACGTTCGTCATATACATATTGTTGGTAAACAATTGCGTGTGTAATGCGTAAAATGTTTTAAAAGAAAACTTTATAAAGAAAATTTTGATGTTAATTCAGATTAATTAATTCATCTTGAGTCAGTTTAGTTAAATGAAAATCATATAAGATCGTGATAAATCTATTAGGAAACAATTTGAATTTGAATGTCGATTTAAATAATTTTAATACATTAGGTGGATAAAGAATAGTTTTGGTTTGAATTTTGCGGCTTAATGAATAAGGCCATTTTTTGTAACTACCAAATCTAATAAGATTAAATCTTACATTAAATCTGTCTATCCCAATTAGATTAAGAGATTTAAGGTTCGGTTACCTAAGACGTGAACTTAAATAGTTATTGTGCATTTGCAAACATTATTTTATACCATGTAAAGCAACAATTTATTTGTCTGTGCTGGTGAACGCTTGTTCATCTATTTGATACTTGATAAGTTGGGTAAAAGACGATTGACTATTAATATAAAAAATCTCATCTAAAATTTTAGCTTAGATTTAAAAAATATAGAATAGTAATCAAATATTTACTGACCGGTCTCGGTCGCCATGGCCGGTAGTTCTGAGGGCGGCACGGCGCTGCCTGGGCGTGCTCGGCTACCCGACAATCGCGCGCATTACACGCTGCGTCCTGCGCCCACTGCGCCCACTGCGCCTATTGCCCACTGCGCCCACGCGCCCAACTTGCCCACTATGGCTTATTCGTCGATAGACTAGGCGACTTTTATTTATCGCGATTAGGGCGATCACTTTTGTTTTAACTTTCGTAGTTTTTTTTAAAGAGCATGAAGTTTGTTTTGATTTCCTGAAAAGATTTCCCCCAGTTAGTGCTATATGGTCTGATAATTTAGACATATCCAATTGTATTATTGCGTTTTCTGTTTGTCCGTAGGGTGAAAAGCGACGTTTATGCGATAGGTGTTTTGTTCTTGATTTGTTAAAAGCGATGCGATTTTTTTAATACAGTGTTTATCTCTAAGTAATTATTATACTTTTAAAACGTTTTTAAATCTAGGCTTGCGATTTCATCTTGCTTACTTTAATCATATCGATTATTTGGTACTAGCTTTATTGCAAATTTTTTTTCAAGTTTATTTCAGACACGAAGTTTAAGAGAGATTTATAAAAAAAAATAAACATTAAAAGTATAGTTAGTTTGTTTTAAGATTTATTAAAAATATATGAAAAGTAAAACCGATCTCCGAATTACTTACGTGCGATTTAAAAACACTGAATTGCATAACACACGAAAAATACAAAATTACTAAAAAATATACACACTATTACGTCGTATCAAAGTGTAATTAAGACGATCGTTTAATTCAGAAACTATTAATAAACAATTAAACCGAATTGCCCGCGTGTAAGGTTAATTATAATTATCTAAATCCGAGTGCGGTACTTGCATCGCCGTGACGCAACCGACAACAACTGACCAGCGAGCAGTGTGCACGCACTAGGGCCGCACAGCGCAAATCATTCGCGAGCGC